GATGTATTATTGAAAATTTTACATTAGCAGCTCCTTCCAAATTTGAGAGTGTTACATTGAAGGCATATAAAGAGGTCTACTTTAACACCTAAAAGTTGTTGGCGTCCTATAAACCTGATTTTGTTGTAGTGTGCCCTTTGATGAACAACCTTTATCCATATCTTCCATGTCCGATAAACACCCGTTCCAACATCTTCTTTTCTGATATATTTTCTTTGAAGCTTAGGGATAATTTAATAGGCAAATTCATCATGCTATATTCATTTTGGATTATGGAGAATGAGAGTCTAAGATGATGAGAACAATGGCATTAACAACACATTGCTCTACGTAGAGAATGAACGATGCTATTGGTGGGCGATGTCGACTTATGAGAAGTATAGAGAATATGGTGGTGGTTTTTGGGCTTAGATCGAAGGTTGTTGGAGGAAGAGGGCTAGTCTCCATCGAAATTTTGGTTTAGGTTGATCAAGGGTGTAAGAGTAGGGGGTTTATACGAGAAATGTGGTTTTAGACCAGAGGTTGTAGTTTTGGCTTAAGATCGAAGGTTGTAAGAGTAAGGTTTTACTGGAGAGACGTAGGGTAAGGATCGCGTGAGAAATCAAAATTTAATGAGAAATGTAGGATGGTTATAACAAATATGTTAACAAATGTTAGCATGGAAATGTTAACACAAGCAAGCATAAGTTAAAATAAATTAACATATATTGACATAAATTAACAGGAATGTTAACATGTGTTGATGTTATTTACATTTTAACTGTGTAAACTTCCGCTAATAAAGTGCTTCCTACATTTCTCACAAAATAAATTCGATTTCTCATATGAACTCCATCCTATAAGAACCAAAGGACTTTTGGCCTAGCGGTATCATAGTCCTTGACCTTCTAGGAGGTCAGGGGTTCGAACCTCACCATAGGTGAGAAGGGTGTGTGAGTTTATTTATTGCTTTTACCGTATATAAATATTATATACTTCAAAAAAAAATCCATCCTGTAAGAATATATATATAATATATATATTATTAGTTATTAATAATACAATTATATATAACCACAAGAATGGTGCCTGATTGGTTTGAGCTTGGTTCCAAATGTCAAAAGTACCTGGAGATCCTAGGTTCAAATCCGAGGAATAAAAATCTTCTTGTGGCCACAGAGGTTTAAATGCGGTGACTTTGGACTATCTGCAAAGCAAAATGCTAACCAAGGACAAAAAACAACTATTTGCAAAAGGACTATAATTGTAAATTATGAAAACCAGGGAAGACAACTGAAACTTTTCTATTGACAATTTTAGGGTTCATTTATCCAACTCTTACTCGGTATGCCTTTACCGGTAAGATTTAATATTTTCACTTAACTTACCGGGTACAATTTTAATCTATTAAAACGATATCACATGCAACATTTTTATCCGGTAAATGCTTACCGGGTAAGAGTCGTCACTCTCGCTTACCAGATAAGACTTTCAATCATTGTCATCGCTCTAAGCGGATAAAATCTCAGTCCTTGTCATCGCTCTTGTCATGTTCATCCGGTAAGATAAAGTGACTCGGTAAGTTGTTACTTGGTGTAGAAAAATATATTTAGACTAGATTAAAGATAATTATTATCTGTATTAATAAATATATCACTTGGCTGTAAAAAAATAATAAAAATATTTAATATATTATAATAATATTTTTTAATCAAAATATAA